TTAAATTTAAAAAAAAATCAATAGAAGATATGTTTAAAAAAAATTTTTTTTATAAAGGAAAAATCCATATTTTCTTTTGCTTTGAACTCTTTATTTATATGCTTTATTAAAAATTAGTTCTTAACCATAAATTATTGTAGTTTTTTCTTTAGCCAAATCAGAATGCATCCGACAGATTTATCTGGTGTGTGTAAATAGTTACTTAAAGTTGCAATAAATATATAAATTTGTTAAATATATAGTAGAGTATATATATAGTCTATAAATATATATTGTTATTGTGTATATATATATATGTATATTGTATTATGTGTCTAGTTGATTCTCATAGTACTCTTACGTCTTGTCTTACGGCTAGATCTAGTCATACAATTTGTGTGAATTTCTTATAAGAATAGACTTAGGCTAGTTTGATTCGCTTAATTAGGATGTACTATATTTGGAACAGTATTGAGGAGCCCTCGCTGCAAGGGCTTCCTTAACGTATTTTCATATTTCATTTGTAGTTTCGAATGCTTTAATAACTAGGCGCCTTAAATCTCAAGTTGAACTTTATTGCTTTGTAAAAGTGCGGGATATGAGTTTTCTTTCTCTCTGCTAGCCAAATATGTGTTTGCCTGTGTGTGCGTGTGTGTGTGTGCTGTAAATTGATGGCCACCTGGTGGCTGTTGCTGCTGTTGTTGCTTCGTTAGCAATTCGTGCTTGGGGCAGAGCTCATTTATTAGGAGGAAGCGCGCGCGCAATCAGCGCTAATTAAAATGCCCTCCGGCTTGGATCACGAGATGATGCAGTTTTTGTCCTTGTCGCCAGCCAGCTCGGCGGGCTTGCGCTTTCGATCGTAGGCCAGCGCGTCGTTGGGCACATAGCTGACGCGCACGCCGCCATAGTGTCGCCTCTGTGGCAGCTGGTACATCATCATGTAGTCCTCGGAGCTGGACGAACTGGATGAGCAGGTGGAGCAGACATCCGATTCCTCGGACTCTTCCCTGTCGCGTTCTCGCTCCCGCTCCCGCTCTCGTTCCCGTTCGCGTTGCTGGCGCGGCGATCTGTGCGCCGCCTCCTGCTCGGCCACCTGCAGCACCGAGGGCGGACCCTGGTAGGAGGAGGACAGCGGCTGGGCCGGCGCATAGGTATCGGCGCGCGTTGTCGAATGCGAACGATGGCCGCTGCCGCTGCGATGATGGCTCGAGGACTTGCGACGACGACGACGCCTCGAACTGTGCCCATGTCCATGTCCCTGCCGATTGCCATCCCGATCCCTGTCCCTGTCCCTGTCCCTGTCTCTCTCTCTATCTCTATCCCGTTCCCCAGCTCCGCTAGTGCCTGCCCCGTTGCCCGAGTAGCTGCGCGAGCGGGGCAGCGTGTCGGGTATGCCCTCGAAGCGCACGCCCTTCTTCTTGCCCGGCTCCCCGCTCATGGGTGAGGAGGAGCTGGCGCCGCTCAAGATCGAAACGGGATGCGTCGGCGGCTGCGTGGCCGACTGCGTGGACTGGGGCGTCTGCAGCGATCGGTCGCCCGCAGAGTGCGTGGGCGAGCCCATCAGCTCCGGCGGCAGCGCCGTGGACGCCACACTCAGGTTCGGAGTCGGCAGCTCGGGCAGCTCACCGACTGGCGGCGGATGCATGATGTCTGCATACTCGTGCTGCGACGCATGGAATTGCTGAGCGGAGGCGTGCAGCGGCGGTGCCGGCAGCTGCTGTGCGAAATGTTGTGCCATGTGCTGGGCTCCGGCCACGCCCAGCTCGGGCATGCTGGACGTGATGGAGTTGTCCATTTTGGTGACCTGTTGCAGCTGCCGCTGCAGCTGGTAGCTATGCGTGGCGCCCAGGGGCGGCTTAGCCGGCCAAGCGGCGTCCAGATTGGTGGCCATCTCGTTGAAGTTGTAGACGCCATCGCGCTGCAGTTCCATTGGCTTGGGCATCAGATTCGGCTGGAAGTCGCCGGGCGACATATTCTGCGAGCTGGCGTAGTCCGGAAAGTCGCGATGAGCCTGCTCCAGATCCTTGACCACGCCCGCATCCGAATCGGAGGTGGCGTAGCTCTGCTTGGGCATCTCGCTAATACTCACGCCGGCTGCCAGCTGCTGGCTCTGCAGCTGGTACATGGCCTGGTTGAAGCTCGCCTGGTGCTGTTGCTGCTGCTGCGGCGACATGGGCGGTGAGCTGGAGGCGTGGCTGCTGGGTATGCGCGTCTGTTGCGGCCGGATGCGCTGCGCCGGCGGCGTGGGCGTGGTGTACATGCCAGTGCCGGAGCTATCCGAGGGCGTGGGCGGCTCACCCTTGCTGCAGGCAATCGAACAATAGATGGCGCCACGTCGCGGCAGGAATGCGCGACCCAGCAGCGAGCAGCGGCAGGTGTTGCACGAGAAGCACTCGTCGGTGGCATGCCAGTGCTGGCCGTCGTGGCTCATCTGGCCCTGATCGACGCCAATCGCCTCGCCGCAGTAGTCACAATACTCGGCGAACATCGCATCGAAGCAGAGCAGACAGTAGGGCTTGCCCTCGCGCATAATGTATCGCTGGCCGCCCAGCTGCTTGTCGCACTCGTGGCAGGCGAAGTGATTCATGTGCCAGGCACGTCCCTCGGCCTCAGTGCACTCATCCGCCAGGATAATCTGCGAAAAGTTTTGCAGCCGTTGAGCGAAAAGTTTGGCTTCGCCTCTCCCCTAGGGGGAGTCGGGAATCTGTGAAGGGGGAGGTGGGGAAAAAACTTACCTCATCGCAGGCTGAGCAGCGCGGCTTGAGCGTCTCGGCATGATGGCGGCCACAGTACATGCGGCCATCGCGATGAAAGTAGATGAGATCCACGAGCAGCTCGCGGCAAATGCAGCACGTAAAGCAGCCCGGATGCCAGCTGGCGTTGGGGCCAAGGCGCGTGGCAAAGACCGCAATGTCACCGGTGGAAATCAGCTCGTCGCACTGTCAAAGGCAATTGCAATTGTAATGAAAGTTCGGGGCGGGGCAACTGTTGCAACAGTTACTGGATACTTACGCCATCGCATGGACGTGCGCTCATCAGCTGTCGCACGTTGCCGCGTCCAAGTGCATCACGCTTGCGCTGTGTGGAGAACAGGCGCAGCTCCTTGCGCTCCTCATCCGTCAGTGAGTGACAGTAACGAACCTGCAATGACAGAAGAACCGTTTCTTGAGACACACAGACAGACAGACAGACGGTCAGAGAATGAGAGACAGCCAAATCATATGTTCAAGTTGTTCTCGTTGTTCTTCTCGCCGTTGTTGTTGTTGTTGTTGTTACTGTTGTTGTTGTTGGCGGTGGGCAGGCTGAAGCGATCTTTCCAAGAAGTCAACAACGGAGCGCAGATTGTTTGTCTGCTCTTAGCTCCAACTCAAAGTCGAGTGGCCTGTGGGCAGGGCAGACAACCGCAGACAGCGAACGGTAGCCAAGGCTGCCCATCAACTGGGCTAGCATCTAGTGGACTAGAGCGGCCCTCCTGCGGCTCCTGCTCTTACTGCTTGTGGCCTGTGGTCAGCGTCTCGTTTGTGTGTTGTATGCAAATTTTTTTCCGGGCTGCCTCTTTTTTGTTGAAGCAGCGCACAATTTGATTTGACTTTCGGCTTGGAATTTGGGCATTTGCCACACAGACACACACGCACAGCCAAACACACACGCACACAGGTATACAGCTAGGCACACCCAGCACCAAAGTCTGGTCAGCAACTCGTTAACATGGCAACCCCTCAGTTAGTGGCAGTGGTTAAAAGTGGTAAATGCTAAAATGCTAAAATGGTAACTGATATGCCCCGACTCACGCAGCTGTGGGAATCCGCTCAACCTAAGTTCTATACCCTAAGCAAAAAGGAGCTTGACTAACATATTGTTAAGCAAAAGGATTAAAGGAAAACCTTTGGATTTCTGATAAATAAGTTATGTGGAAGGGAATAATATTATTAATTGATTGACTCAATATTCGATAGCTAAATATATCTGAGAATGGAATCGAAGTCTGATAAAATTGAGCANTTTTTTGGTTTTGGTTTTACACTGTCTAGCCAACGTCTAGACAAGTGCATACCACACAGACAGTCGAAAACGAACACACGCAGCACAAGAGCGAGACGGAGATAGCGGCAGAGTTGGAGAGAGGGAGATGGCAAGCGAGTCTGTTTGTTGCACAATTCAACTTTTAGCTCAAAAACTCATTGCCCAGCTAGGCCCTATCAAAACCGCTCTAGCCACCCGCTACGCCCGCACCACCCGCCCACCGCCGCTGTCTGTGGCTAAAAGTATCCTGCAGCCATATTCCAATGCAATGGCATTGCCTGTACTCGTTTGGGTCCTCTGGGCCTCTCCTCCATTTGCATACAAATTTTTCTAGTTTTTGTTTGCTTCTTTCTATTTTATTTTCATTTGTATTTTTATTTTTTTTTTTTTTTTCGGCATCCGTTTTCCTGCTGCGGTTGTGGGCGTGCCTGTTGGGCATTTGTCGGCCGCATTTCCATTTGCATGTTTATTTTTTTTTTATGGTAGAAGAATTTTTGTAGATAGTGTTATTATTTATGTAGAGATTATCCCTTGAAATATTGACAAAAACAATAAATCAATCTATGAAAAATATTATTCTAAGTACAGCTTTCAGCTTTTCATTTATATTTATAATTTTATTTATTTATTTTTTCATTTTTATCTCAATATTATTTAATTCTGCTATTCTTCTACACCCTTCCTTTACAAATCTCCCTCTAGACTATCCCCAGCTCATCATAGGGTATTCATGCTTCGATTTACTTCCCTTTTAGCTCTCAGTTTTTGTTTATTTTGTTTATTTTGGTTGTAGTTTTGTGGTTTTTCGCCAGGGCTGTCCGGTTCAGTTAGTTGCACTTGTTTCCTTGATTAATTAAAAGGCACAGGAACAACAGCAATAACAACAACGACGACAACAACAATTTAGGAACTGGGCCCGTGTGGGAAAATAGTTGTTGGCAGTGACTTGGATGCCTTTTTGGTCGTAATTCGAGCTGTCGCTGCGAGGACACGAGGACATTCAATCACGATAAAATGCGCACACATTTGAATAAATACCACGAAATTGACAGTTTCACTAGCCAGAGCCACCCCAGGGACCCACAGTGGGTTGCCCAGTGGCGATAGAGCGGAGACTCACCTCGTTATCATGCGGCGGCAGTTGATGCAGCAATTGTCGCACACGATATTGCTCGCCGGGACTGTTGACGTATGGCACTTTGTCGTCGGGTATTTGCGAAAAATACAAGCGAACCTAGAAAGAGAAAGACAGAAAGACAGAGAGAGAGAGAGAGAGAGAGAGTTAGTTAGAGATCACACACTAAACTCTAAGCTAAGTTCATGCAAAAAGGGTTTTAAGCTAAGCTTCAACGATTCAGCATTATCATGCTCATTGTCGTCATCATCATCATCATCATCATCATTATCATCATGAAGTCTGGAGGCCTGTCAAATGGCGCACAGCAGGTTGCTTGGTTGGCTAGAAGATTTTCTCCTTTTGATTTTATTACGTTGATTTGGCCATTTTGGCCAGGTTGAAAGGTGCGCAACGTGCTGCCACGGTCAACTTCTAAGCCGCTGCAATCGGCTGCTCAGTTTATTGGCCACGTTTTTGTTTTTCTGTTTTCTTCTTTTTTTTTATTTATTTTTCTCTCAGTCTCTTCAAGTGCCGCGAAATTTAAGCATGCGATCTGCCGGCAAATGACCACAGACTGAGCCAACGGCCCGCCAGGCAGCCAACTGGCCTGCGTGATAGACAGACGGACGGAGAGAGAGACGCACGAGCGGACGAGCGGACGAACGGAGTGTCCGACTGTCCGACTGACTGACTGACAGACACATGGCTTATGCTGCGTCAACGTAAATGGCTGTAAATAAATTTTCAATTCTGTTTGTAGCGTTTGCCAAAAATACAATATAGCAATGGCAATGTCAGCTGGCTAAACAATTATGTGGGACTAAGAGCTACCCTGTAATTGAGCCTCACATGGATTGTGAATATCCGGTAGTTGGTGTGGTCATTTCTACGTTCCCATCTGCAAATCTGCTAGACAATCTTAAACTGCTGCCAAATCGTCAGGTAATAAAATCTTTGGCTAAGTCAAACCATTAATTTGGCTTTCGATTTTGATATCTAATATGTAATATGGGTATTAATACTACGTTGGATTTGGAATGGTATGGAAAAGCTGACTGCAAAATCTTTGCTTTAACAGTAAACTACTTCAAGTTCTCTGAAAATTGAATTATAGCTTTAGATCGAGGAAATCTCTACTTAAGAATGCTTATCTCTTTCTCAAAGATTCAGTCTGAGCTAGAGCCAAACTCAACTGATATTTATACTTCTGCAAATGACTTTCCCAGCCACCCTCTTCTCTACACTCCCCGCTTACAGGGTATTTAAACGTCTGCCAGCTCGACATGTGATAGGCGGCGTCAGTTTGAGCGGGATTAACGCGACTCTATGCATTCCGACTGGCAACTCAGCCGCCATCAGCATGTCAAACTGTTGTTGCCAAAGTCTCTTGGGCAGGGTCTAGACCGAGGTCCAGCCTGCAGCCAGCGCTATCTGTCACTGCTCTAGGTTCAAAAAGAAAAAACAGAATGGGCCCTAAAAAATGGTTAGTAGTGCGCTTCTGGGCGCCGCGGTCGCTGGCAAAGATTTCGCAAGATTTATTTGGCATTGGCGCATATTTTACGCAAATAATTTATGTGGCGTTAAAGGCAGCCAAAAAAGCAAGAAAAAAAACCAAACAAAATGGAAAAATAATTGAAAAAAAAAAAAACTCATTCAAATACAATTTTTTGTTCGGCTTTTTGGCCATTGAATTGGCCATAAAAGTCGCTTTGAGAAATGGCTAACAAGTTGCAGCAGAGCGAGTGGGCCGCAGCAGTTGGAGTTTCATTAGCGCAATCTAATTTTCAATATGCAGACAGCTCCAGCTGGCCCACACGCCGAGGGTCGCTGCCAGGCGATGTCAGAGCAGCTCGCAGATGAGAGATGCGCGATGTGCGATGCGCGCTGCATTTGCTATCGGCTCGTCGCCTGACTGATTTATGGCCCGCCGATGAACAGCTCGGGCTCCACTATTTTAGTGACAAAATCACGCACAATAAGTCAGGTCCAGTCAGGTCCAGTCAGGTCCGTTCAGGTCCAGTGAGAAGTCAAGTGAAGCCAGGACGGGCCCGTCGAGTCACGCAGCTTATCGGCGCACACAAATCACTGATCTAGGCGCTGAGCACTCACCTGATCCGGTCGCAGGCCGGGCGGCACCCAGGTGTATTCCTCCAGCGCACAGCCGCTGTCATCGTCCGAGTGCGATTGCCGTTGCATGTCCTGCATGTGCGGACCGGCTAGGAAGGGCGCATGCGCAGCCGCCGCCGCTGCTGCTGCCGCCGATGAGGCAGAGGAGCCGCAGTTGACTGCCGGGTGGTGCAGCAGTGAAGGCGGCGACGGTGTCGACAGCGCCGGCGACAGTTGATGATGTTGCTGCTGCGGATGCGGCTGATGCGGCTGATGTTGCTGCTGGAGCTGTTGCTGTTGCTGTTGCTGATGCGGCTGTTGTTGGTGGGCATTCGTATACTTGGCCTGGCCAACAGTTGGCGGCAGCATCGGCAGCTGTTGGTGGTGCGGCGGCAGGTATTGCTGGTGCCGCTGCAACGGCACCGGCGATGTGGGCAACATGCCCGCATTCTGCGCCCCATACAAAGCCCCCGCCGATGAGCTGCTGGGCAGGCCAACAAGTGTGCTCAGAGGGCCCGCGGCCTGGCTGGGCGAGAAGTGGCGCGGCAACGTAGGTATCTTCTGCAGATAGGAGATCTGCGTCAGTGGAGTGCGACTTATGGGCCTGCAAAGAGAGCGAGAGAGAAGGAGTCTTTAGTTATTGGCATTTTTGTGGCGTGGCGAAATTCAAACTCAATTAAAATATTTTCACATCACATTACATGGCGGGTTAAAGGTTTTACTATCCGCTGGGAAATTGTGGTAAATAAATTTCAAATTTAACAGCCAAAGCCAAATCATATTTTAAATGAATTATGAAACCGCAAAACAATGCGATTTCCTTTGTAATTCGCTGGCTGCATACATATGTGTATATATTTAATTTATATATTTTTTCAATTCATAAAAGCTGTCAATTTTAGTTTGTTTTTTATGCGATGCCGTAAAAAAGGATTGTTTTTTTTTTTTTTCTTTTTTACTTTAACTGCGCATCAAAATGAAAGTACAAATACGCTTCACAGCGCTTACACAAATAAATCGACGGCTCTGCTTGTTTTTTTTCCGAATTGTAAATGCGCACATATATAGAGTGAGAGATATATTTATGTATGCTTGTGTATGTATTTGTATGTTTTTCTGTTGTCTGCTTTCCGGGCCCTTGGGCTGTCGCTGTCGCTGTTTGTCATTTTGTTGTACTGCTGACATTGTTATCCTAGCCGCGCCCCCAAAAAAACTGCGCTGCAAGCAATTGTCGGGGGATTGCCGACTGCCTGTATGTATGTGTATATGTATATGTGTATGTATATATGTTTATGTGTATGTGTATTCGTACTGGTGAGCTTTGATCGTTGCTGTTAAGCATTTCGATCATTTCGACGTTCGTTGAATTTGTTTGAGTTTTGAGTTATTGAACATGAGCATAAAATAAGAGGACTATAGACCAGATATATATCAAGTACCCAATTTGAATGGCATAGGTACAACACTTAATGATAATTTATAGCACAAAGCTTTAAGCTGATGAATGACGAATGAGGGGTTGAAATATAAGATCAGGTAGATAAATCATACTCTGATCCAGCCTAAAATATTCATTGAAAGTTTTATTAAATTTGCGCTTTTAAGATCATAAATCCTTGAATATATTGTTTTGATAATATACAAAAATATAAATAAATAA